TTATTATTCAGGGCAAAGATGACACCAAATTGAACAAAGAAATGAATGGGTAATCCCAGAGAGAGAGAGAGCATCTAAAGGTTTCTTTCACTGGCGGGGTGGCATCGCCATTTTCTCACTTTACGCTGTAGAGTTTTTCCACCGAATTTAAACCGCCACGTAAAGATAACCTCTGAACTGAAAGTCTAATAGTATTTATTTAGGTCTGGTATTTACTGAAATAATTGTCCCATGGTTAAATGTAAACACTGCTGTACTGTATCTGCAGTTTAACAGATTTATCCTAAAACTTTTTTTTCTCAGCTATTCTTCTAATTCCCCTATCAGGGTTTTACAGGGTTTACACTGTGAAACATTTTGTTCCTGACAGTTAATTAAAGACTTTTCTTATGGTATCTTTCCATTTTTAATTTACTACACAGCTCCGACCTATATAGTACAGCTCCAATAGATTTCTATGAGCTACTTCCAACTTTGTTTTCAGGTCCACATGTTCAGTTCCTCTGAAGAAGAAATGATGATGTTAATCTGGTGTTTGCATCCCTCAGCAACATAATCTAGGAAAACTCCTCCTGGCTTTCCAGAAATTGTAGTACATTTTCATTTTATCATATAAAATGTCAGTCTTTGTGCTTGTCCAGCCTGAGAAACTGCTTCGCCATTTTACCAACTTTACTATCTGCTCATCATGTTTGCTCCACCTGTTGCTTCCTTCTGTCACGTTATCATATTGTTCTGCAGCCAAGTTATGCAACTTTCATTAGCATGTTCCTGTAAAAACTGGTTTGAGTGTTATCTCATCATGGCTTCTTTGGAAGGAACTTCTGTATCTTCTAAAGAAATCAAGTCTTATGAGGACCTCTGTGTCAGATTTCAAATTTTCACAAGATGAGGTTTTCCAGTGAAAGTACTGTGGCCTGATTTGATGCAGAATACAGAGGCTGTCTACTCTCTACTTTAGGAAATGTTGAATTTCTTGTGACTAGTTGTCCAATAATATTAATCAATCAATCAATTTCACTTTGTATAGCCCACATTCCCAAATCACAATTTGTTTCATAGGGCCTAATAAATTGCAGCTGTATCTGTATCTGTCCTTGACCTTAAACAAGAGTGACAAAAAACTACCAAATAAACCTTTTAGCAGGAAAAAGCCGCAGGGATCCCTCTCCCAGGACGAACAGATGTCGTGTGTAACTGAATGCATCAACAAAACAACAACATTCATGAGAAGAGAACGTGTCAAACATACATGATGGTAAAAAAATATATTTTTCTTTTCACTGTGGCTAAATGTCCTGTACAATGTTATGGTCAGCATGTTAGCATTAACTTAAAGTTGACATATCTGTGTTTCTGATATTCAACAACATTCTGGCCTCTCGGGTTTAAGCTACATTTATCTTCCACATAGTGAAAAATAAGAACACAGTCTTATCTTCGTGAGGGTTGCAGTCCAGCTCTAGTCTTTTTATATTGAGAGTTATGAGAGTTTACTGTCTTAATGTTTTTCCCTGAACTATCAAGCTGAAAACCTCACCTGCTGGCAACTGTGTATTTTATTATTTCCCAAACATGACTCTGAACTTATCTTTATGACTCTAAGTGTGGTTCCTTCAAGAAATTCAAATCTGCAGCAGCTCACAGATAAGTGCGCCAATATAAAATTGTGACCCGATCATAAATCAATTTGACGTGAAGAGAGCTAGTATTCATTTTTACAAAATAGTACTTCCCGGAGTAGAGCGAGAAGAGCGGCCAATAGCACATATGAGGAAGTAAAAATAGACTAAAGAGGCGTTGACAGGTACTAATGATAATGATAATTGGCGTGGTGCTGTTGAGTAATACAAATACCTGTCTTCACAATAAAAGAAGGTAGATTCCATGACACATTGAAATGTTTACCGCCCTTGGTTTTTTCCTGCTCATGTTTGAAGTTGGTACTTTTCTCTCCATATGTTGAACTTGTGAAATCAGCTTTGCAATCTGTGCATTGCTGCTTCCGCCGCAAAAACCAGCTCATTGCATGTGATTCACATTTTTCTTCGCTAACTTATATTCCCCTAAAACCAGAAGATACTGAAGCATTTGTATTTGCAGTGTCAGACTGATGTGAGAACACTGATGAACATGAGAACATTTAATAATGTTAATAGTAATAATTATTATTAACATTGTTCATACAGTAGGACGGCAGTTAGGTTCCAACCCAATGTCAACACAAATGTACCCACACATTCGACAAACAAGGTCAACCCCAGTATCTTCATATCTGATCAAGCTAATCATATATCTTCAATATAATAATAAGTCATATCATCAAGTAGCTCCACATTTTGTCCTTGCAACAAAAACACCAATACAAATCGATCTAAAGACAAATAAAAAAAACACCTCCAATCCAATTTAAACATAAAATCCCTTTTTATTGAAGATATTGTAATTCAATGTGTGTAAATCCTGTCTTCTGATTATGCTTCCTCTTTTGAATTAATTTACATAATTACAATTATCATCAATGAAATGCTCTGATGAGCAGTAAGAAAGAATTTCCTGCGTGTTGTAACTACTGTAAACCTTGTCTCCGGGATGATGTCCTACATTATTGTCTCCAGTCATCAGTTTTCCTTATGTTCATAAAGCAGAAAGGTCCTTGACCCTCAACTTTCAACACTAAGTCACTGTTATCATAAATGTCATGAAGGACTCAGACTCACTGTACAAAATAGCTCTGCTTCCCGGGGAATTACAATACCTACCAACAGAGGTATGAGGGGTTGTAAACTCTACAGCTCACTGAGTGACCTACAAAAGAGTTACTATCTGTTATTAATGATTAAATGTAAAGGCGGAGGACGGTGCAGGATATTTGTTCGATTTTAAAAGTAGAATTTCCCCACAAAGCGCTTTCAGCAAATACACACGAAAGCTCTGAAACTAACCCACTGGTGAAATGTGATTTGTTGCTAAAGCCTGAGGTTGAGCAACAACGTCTCAGCCATTGCTGTTTATTTCTGCTTCTCGACTTCCTTGAAAGAGGCAAGTGGACAGGTCTCATGCAATTGTCCTGTTGATGTTGCAAACAGGATGAGGACGTGCTGACAGAAAAATTACCTCTTATCTCTGACAGACAAACTGAACCCTGAAACAAGTGATTCAACCTGAAGTCTTTCTTCTGCATGATACCCATTGTTATTTAAACATTTCTTTTCGTGTGAAGTAACAATAGAATCCCCACACTCATTGTCATGTGCAGTGCAAGAACTTTTAATTTCCTGTTTATGGAAATGTTATACCTCTTTTACAGAAACCTCACACTGTAGATCTAATGGGAATGATGGATTTGTCCCCATTTAGTTCTTTCCTGAACAATACAAATTCCTTCCAACAGGTTTTTGTGGAAATCCATTCAGTTGTTTTTCTGTATTATTTTTGCTGAAAACAGCCTGCATGATAACATTTGATAGAAATAGTTTTGCAAATGTATTTATTCAACATCTCATTTCCCTTTAAATAATGTTCACTCTTCAGCTGGATAATGTTGAAGTGATTTAGTCAGTTGGTCAGTGGGTTAATGGATCAGTCTGCAGGGAGATTGTGAATTCAATGTGTAAATCAATAACTATCATTGTCAATCATTGTGTGATGCTGTTTTTTCAATTTTATTTTTTTTATCACTGATAATAAGTAAGTTAATGTGTGTCAAGTTTTTTGCAGATAGCTGGGGTTTTTTCCCAGACGTTGTTATCATGTATCCACTGGGCTCCGCTCCAAAACACACACGGGTTTTCTTAAAAATGTACGCTTGACCGTACATCTGTCTTTTCTTTTCCTCATTACACGAGGGTGTTGCACACTTCACAATCGATTCCTTATTGACCTTCGGTAAGTTGCTCGGTGATGGTTCAAACTTTAACCTCAATCTCCTCATAATGATCCTGTGATTTGTGATTTCTTGGATAAACTTACTTTCCTCTCAGTTTAATAATACTTTAATTTGTTATCATTAGAATAGAATGTGAATTGCTTCCTTTTTTTCTCAAGTTTAGCGGTTTCTCTGTTACAACACTGTGGGTCGTCAATCGGTGAAAGTTAATGAATGTTTTATCAACATTCCTCGAAAGATGATTTCTCCTGGAGGAAATCAGGTATGTAAAATATAATGAGTAAAAAGAGAGAAACATAAGAATACAGCCCCAAACATGTTAAGGAAAGAATGAAAAAAACACAAATCAAGGCAAAGAGGTTAAGTCAGCAAACACTTTCCATAATGTTTTCTGTGTACAACCTATGCAGCATATCCTACCATCTGCATTTCCCCGCATATAATGTTCATCTCTTTATTGTTGGATGTCAATAATGGCATAAAATGTTTTTCAAAATATTTAAGAAGAAAATCATATGTACTAACTGCTACTCCAGAGAGACTCAAGAATACAAACATAGTTATTTCAGGAACACACCCTTACAACTTTTATTGTTGACAGGTTACGGTTATATAAGTCCTCCACAGACAATGACTAATATGCATTAAGAATTTCCCTCAGTGCAGAGAGCAGGAAGAAGGAACTGCACTTTACTGACAGTAGCCTCACCTGTGAAACCCAGGGGCGGGGCTTCTCTATATAAAAGGACTGAGGATGACAACACCAGACACAACAAATTATAGAACTTCACAAGCTCGACACAAACCTTCACAGGAACCTTCGTAGACACAGGTAATGAGATTCTTATTTTATTTTTTTGCAAACTAATTAAGTCTTAATTTACACTTGGGTGAAGAAAAAAAAAATGAATGCGTTTGGATCTTTTGTTTCAGAGATGTTTCTCTCTGTCCTGCTCGTGCTGGGCCTCTGCCTGGTGCCTTCTCACTCCAAACCCACAGGTACATGTTGCATCCTTCCCTCAACAAACATGTTTCTAATTTGCCCCAATTATTTTCACTTAAACGTCTGATTCTTTTTGCAGGAGAACATCTGGGCAGTCCTTTCCTCCAACAATGTTTTAAGGAGGCTAAGAAAATTGTGGATGATGCATATTTGTACTCCAGACAAGAGTGAGTTCATTTTAAAATGCTGGATTCGCTTTTTAATTAATACAGCATCATTTTTACGTTGAAGGACTCTTACGTCAGTTCATTAGTGTTTCTTAAACGCTTGCTCTTAAGAACAAGTTACAGGACCTCTGAAGCAGACCACATTCTAGACTTGATTGTCCAACCTTGTGACCTTTTCCACCCCCAGGAGTCTGAGGCGAGTTCGCAAGGACGTGGTGAGGCCTCACGATGCCCTGCGTCTCCTGAAGCAGCCTCGAGCTGAAACGCGCTCGGCTGTGAGGTCTGCAGACTACATGGCCCAAACCCTTCGTCTGCTGCATGAGAGGGTGCATCGTGTGCACAAACGCTCGCTCAACGCAACAGGTCAGACAGTCAGCAACTACAAACAGACACAAAGACGACACACACTGTGCTCACACTGTTTTTTTTGACAGCCTTTCCTGGTTTTCTTAGATCTACTGTTTCATAACGTGGTCGCAGTCCAGCACTTCAAAGATGTAACTGAAAACCAGACAAGTGAAGTTGGCAGACACTTGCACATCAACGCGTGGATTCATGAAATGTGTTTTTCTCATTTTTCCAGACTTGCTGAGTGAGGAAGACCTAAAGGTTCTCGTCAGGATAACTGGATGTGAGGCTCGGGTCCGCATCCCAGAATGCCGCACCACAGCAAACATTAACAAGTATCGCACAATCACCAGCATCTGCAACAACATGTGAGTCACTTAGAGCAGCGGGTTTCCTTCTTCTTTTTCATGACATGATAAACTCTTACCTGCAGTTTTCTAAAATGAACTATTAAATCTTGAATTTAAGTGAAGCAGACACATTTTAAAATGATTTTTACACAAAGTTTCTGCAGCATCACCTTTGGTTATGACTTCTTGCATTTAACAGTTTTCTACATCATATTAAAAAACAACTAGGCAGTTTCTTTTCAGTTTATGAGACACTGCTGCTTACATGCTTGTGAAATGCACCGAAACATCTTGGGCCACTCACCACAAAGATGTGTACACTTCCGTGGGATTTCTCAAGTAGCGTTTCCAAACTTGGAAGTTTTTTGTTTGCCTTTAGAAATAACCCTCGCCTCGGAGCCTCCAACACCCCGTTCGCCCGCTTGCTGCCTGCTGAATACGACGACGGCATCTCCCAACCCAAAGGCTGGAACAACAGAACGTTAAACAACTTCCTGCTCCCACTGGTACGACTGTCAGACACTCACATCGATTACCCAACTTAAAACTTTGGTTTGAAATAAAAACACTTTTTACATGAATGAACTCCTCCTCCGCTCGCAGGTACGACAGGTGTCCAACAAGATCCTGAGTACAACAGATGCAGCCGTGGTCAGCGACAGAGAGTTCACCCACATGGTGACCTTGTTTGGCCAGTGGAACGACCACGATCTCACCTTCACGCCCTTCTCCCCCAGCATCCGCTCTTTCAGCAACAACCTGAACTGTGACGAGAGCTGTGAGAAGAGCGAGCCGTGCATCCCCATCCCAGTGGGTGTCAAAGCTCAAACCTGAAATATCCAGATGTTCTCACTAAAAGATTCGCCTCATGACCTTCAACCTCCCTTTGCAAACAGATTCCTCCTGGTGACCCTCGGCTTCCTTCTCGCCCTGACACCTGCATCCCTGCGTTCAGATCCGCCCCTGCTTGCGGAACAGGATTCTCGGCCTACAATTTCGGCGGAGAGCCCAACAAGAGGGAGCAGATCAACGCGCTGACGGCCTTCCTGGACCTCAGCCAGGTGTACGGCTCTGGGGACAAGCTCGCCCGTGATCTTCGTAACCTCACTAACAATGACGGCCTACTGCGCGTGAACACGAACTTCACAGACAACGGACGTGAGCTGCTGCCTTTCAGTCCCCTCAAGGCAGAGATGTGTGCCACACGCAAAAGAGCCACCAACGACACAAACGCCAGGGAGGTGCCGTGTTTCCTTGCAGGTTAGTCAAGCTGCAAGTTAGGTTGTAAGTAAGTTTGTAGGATAAATAGTTAGTTCATGTTTGATTAACCTGTTTTAAGTAGAAGTTTTGGTTGCTAAGTTGTGAAAAACTGTTTATTTTTAACTTTATTTGAATGGCGTAAAATATGTCTTCATTGCATTAATTATAATTATTCAGATGCCGTCTTATTTTGCTTAAAACACTCAGGAAATTCAAAGTAAAGCAATAAAATCTGGTTCAAAAGAGGAAGCATGTTATGCTCCAATGATCCAATATAGCAATTCAAATTTTCTTTATAATGTGTTATTACTGATCTATCAAACATTAATAAAGGGTTTATGGTCTTTAGCTCATTTTCAACCCATGAAAACATTTGAATCTGACACTTCATGTTTCCTGCATTTTTGCCGTGAAGGTGACGTCCGTGTGGACGAGAACATCGCTCTGACATCAATTCACACGTTGTTTATGCGTGAGCACAACCGACTGGCTCGTGCGCTGAAAAGACTGAACCCACACTGGGACAGTGAGACACTCTACCAGGAGGCCCGCAAGATCATGGGTGCTTACACGCAGGTAAGTCGACTGGCTTTTATTTTAAGTCCCTTCCTAAAACAGACTTCTTGTTTATTGGTAGAAGTACCTCAGAAAAGACTTCTTACTAGACAGCCTTTTTTGCTGTTGACAGTTTATTTCATTTCCGTTGTTTATTCTATTTGTGTCTTGCTTATTGTGAAGCGCTTTGTTTTTTGAAAAGTGCTCTATATTGAGTTTATTTTATTAATTTGAATGTATATATTAGCATCTCCAATGGCTGTGTGTCTCATAACACCTGTCTCTGTCCCTCTCAGGTGTTTGTGTTCAGGGACTACCTGCCACACATTTTGGGCGACAATGCAATTCGGACACAGATTGGCCGTTACCCCGGCTACAGTCCCGATGTGGACCCCAGTATATCCAACGTCTTTGCAACAGCAGCTTATCGCTTTGCCCACTTGGCCATCCAGCCAATGTTAGCCCGTCTGGATGAAAACTACAGGGAGAATCGTCGGTTCCCCAGTGTGTCCTTGTACAGGGCCTTCTTCTCTCCCTGGAGAATTGTCTTTGAGGGTGAGCTGCACAAAGGGAAACTGAAGCAACACTTCTATGATTCTGTCTTAAACAACAAACTTAACATTTATGTTATCGATCCAGGTGGTGTTGACCCTCTGCTGCGCGGTTTGATCGGCCGTCCCGCCAAACTGAACACTCAGGATCACATGATGGTGGATGCTCTGAGGGAGCGGCTGTTCCAGTTTGTGATGCATCTGGCTCTGGACCTGGGCTCTCTCAACATGCAGAGAGGACGTGACCACGGCTTGCCTGGTACATCACTCATACTGACTCTCATCCTTTTTCTGAAATCCCCACTCTAATCTTTCATCCATGTCTTAATTCCACTCTTTGATTGCTTTGTTGTTTACCCCCCCCAGGCTACAATGCCTATCGCAGGATCTGCGGCCTGTCTCAGCCCAGGAACCAGACAGAGCTCGGTCAGGTTCTGAAAAACAATGATCTGGCCCGGAGGCTGCTGCAGCTCTACGGCTCCCCCAAAAACATAGACGTCTGGATGGGAGGTGTGGCAGAGCCGTTTGTGCAGGGTGGCCGTGTGGGGCCTCTGTTCGCCTGTCTCATTGCAAGACAGTTCAAGAATATCCGCCAGGGTGACAGGTCTGTGGATAAAAAATCTAATGCATGTAATCGCTGTACTTCATTTAAACAGATTTAGCCTGGTAAAACACGCAAGGAGGCATGAAATATATCAGTTTTGAATCTGCGACTTTGCTGACACTAAACTTTCTCAATTCTTGTCTCTTTTGAAATTGTCAGGCTGTGGTATGAGAACCCTGGCGTCTTCACCCCGAGACAGAGATCCGTCCTGTCCTCCGCCACCTTGTCCAAGATCATCTGTGACAACACCGGCATCAGATCTGTCCCGATGAACGCCTTCAACCTTATTTCAAACAGGAACCGGCTCGTCAACTGCAACAACATCCGAGGCGTGGACCTGACGGCGTGGAGGGACAGACCCTGCACCAACAGCTCAGGTGACACAACACGGTTACAAACTGTTTTAACCTGGGGAAGATTCTTCATCTGAGCTTAACCTGGTGTATATGTTTCTTCTCTAATAACCTGAATGAAAACCATTCTTCATGTGTGGTGTTTGATGTTACAGGCTCGGGTGATAGCTGTAATGAAGTCAGTGGAACAGAGGTCGGTTTATGCACTAACAAATACTAGCTCATTCAAATCAAACATTTTCCCTTAATGTTTAGACATCTTGGTGAAGGGGGTCCTCACTCCAAACCAAACAGATCATGTTTTACTCACCAAGTTTATTAAAAAACGAAATAATTTCTTTAATTATGAGAACAATACGTGTGAACATTTCTTTACTCCTTCATCTTCTTGCTAACACAGAATGTGAACCAGTCGACTCCCCAGGACCAGCAGGACCAGCAGGGCCTCCAGGACAACGAGGTAATCTCTTCACTTTCCATAAATATATCTTTCAACTTGTTTCATTAATATTAGATGTAAACACACAGAGACAACCTGATTTACCAGAAAATGAGTCTTATTAAAATGTGTTAGACAGTAAGGCAAGATATAAAAGAAACACTGCCAGTGAGAAAGACACATAAATATGATTTCGAAAGGAGTAAATATAATATTTATTAAAATGTTTGACCTAAACTCACTGAAATGTTCATTTTTAGCATCAGATCATGATTTTTTTCTGCCAAAGAGAATGTAAAGATGAAATTGAAAAAATCTATGATCTACTGTATGTTTTGGCAGAAGCTTTGTGTTTTATAATATTATGTTTGTCTTCAGGTGGAGTAGGACGTCGAGGCCCGAGAGGCCGGAGAGGATCTCCAGGTCCCCGTGGTCCCCCTGGTCCCCCTGGTCCCCCTGGTCCCCCTGGTCCCCCTGGTCCACCATCAGTCTACAAAAATGCTACACTTCCACAATCTGCCTTCTCTGTCATTCTGGGGGTGAACAACTCATCCGCTCTGAAAATAATTAATTTCCGTCAGGTCATCTACAATGAACAACACCACTACAGCACGCAGACGGGCCTGTTCACATGTGTGATACCCGGTGTCTATCAATTCAGCTTTCTCTGCACAGCCTACGGCACTGGAGGTGTGGACCTTATGCTCAACAGTAGGTTGGTGCTGCACAGTTTCAGGGTCAGTCAGGGAGGTCACGTCTTGTCTACCGGGGACACGGTGCTCAAGCTGGGGAACGGAGACAAAGTGTGGCTGGAGGCCAGCAACGGGACCATCGGCCTGAGCACCAAAAGCTTCTTCTCAGGACACCTGCTCTTCAGTATGTGACACAAAACACACACCTCTTTTCCAGAACCGCCGCTCCGTCTGCTGTGGGATCTGTTTTAATTACTCAGCCTCTATGCAATGAGCTACTGTTATTTTTAGCACTCTTATAATACTTCATCCTCTAGTCTAGGGCACACCATACAACTTTATACATGTTACTGAAAGATTACGTATAAACGAGTAGCTTAATGACCTTAAAATGTGAAGTTCTGTTGCATGCATAATATATATATTCATCTGTAGCCAATGTTTGAAGGTGAGAATTTCCAGTATTAGTGTGAATATTTTATGCCCAGATGCAATGGAAGTGCACCTTTGTCTGCAACGTTTATTTCCCTGTCACTTTCTTATCTACATACTTTGCTTTCAATAAACAAAACTGTTGAAGATAAGCTGTGTGTTGACATGTTCTTATCATCATGAGGGACTTCATGGGCTTCACAGAGATCACAGAGACAAGAACACAACTTTAAAATTTGATAAAGGACAGTATGAAAAGTACAGGACCAACACAGATCACCATGGCCTGAGCTCAATTAGTGTGAAAGGGTTAGGGTTAGAAAATCTATAGGTGTCATTGAAAAATATATTTTCTTTGAAGCACCAACAGTAAACTGAGGGTGATTTTGAAGAAACAGCTCAGTTTTAATTGAATACTTGCCATCAGTACTCTTAAGTAACCAATAAAAACAGAATGTACTGTGTGCTACCTGTAGATGGAGCCAGTCTTCTTTTTGGAGACAAGAAGAAGTGACATAACTGGTTCACGTAACTGGTTCATAGTCTTTGGTGCATTTAATGAGTTTATCATCAGAATCACACACTGATTCTAACACATTACTTCTTCAGAGAACACTCATTTACATCAGTGCTGAACTTTGACCAAAGCTGTCTCTGTCCCCCAGCTTCATGTTAAACGAACATTTCAAACTGCGTCTTAACTACTGTGCGTCTTTAAAATGTTAAATTTCATTCATGATGAAATTGCTGATGAATATTAATAACCTTCATCATTTTTAACAGTTAAAGTTGTCTGGGGGCTACACTCCTTGAACTGGATGTGGGTGGGAAGGACAGAAAAACAAACACGCTAAAATTTACACCTGTGGTTGACTGAGAGCTCTGATGTGCGGCCCACCTGGGCTGCATGTGTTCACCCTGCAGAGGCAGAAAGTCCACAGGAAGCAGAGGTGAACGTGGGTTGGAACGTGCCAACAGGAGTGCTGACAGCGGAGTTTTTAAAAATTCATAGCACTTTATGTTGAGACATGAGAAGTGTAAGAGTTCTTATTTGTCGAAACTTCAGTGATTTACTTAAATTCAAGTATTAGACAACCTTCACAGTGTCAATGACTGATAGGACGCAGATGATCCCAAACTTACAACTGATATAATCAATAATTCTTTATCAAAAGCTGATCACATGACTCTGTGTGTATGGAAGATGCCGGTGTTATAGAATTATCGGCCAGAACTGAAGTCTCTCCTCAGATTCTACAGAACTTTATCGATTCTTTCAGGACATTGTTTTGGTTTTCCAGCCTAAAACATTATCTACAACAGGCAGCTGTTTGGCTTTTGTTTTGTTTGTGGAAGGTAGCGTTCTGTAGCGAACAGGTGGAGCCTTAAGAGGGTAACAGGCCAGATATTTCCCTCAGGAGGTGGTGGAGACCAAAAAGCAAAGCACATACTGAACTTGCATTTTCCAGGATGCCAAAAAAAACATGCCAAAAAGTTAACAATTTGCAAGCTGATGACGTGTTTGTGTGTTTACAGCTTGTTTCTGCTGCCTCCAAGTGACTCAAAAGATATTGCAGATTTAAACTTGAAAGAAAATCAACTAATTATACACAGTGACTTCAGTATTTTTGCACAGGCACCTTCTCCCCCTCTCATTTCAATTCACACATGGAAACTGTCAAGTGGAGTTGCAAATCTTTAACACTGAAATACAGTTTTATTTATGTGTTTAGTCAGCGACACAGCTTATTCTATTGTTGTTGTGGTAAACAGAGGGATATTTATACTGTACACTATAACAAACAAAACTGCAGTAACATAATGAAAAAATGATCAGATACATCTCTTTATCACTGGATTTGTGGAGAAATACTGACATTGAAAAATAGAAAGTACACAGCACAATGTAAAGTTTAGTGGATTGTGTCCAGATAAAGCGCTCCTCCTCCTCCTGCTGGTTGCCGAGGCTACAGTGCATGTGCAGAGTGCCACGTAGTCCACCAGACTGTGTGTGTGATGAGTGAAAGTGTGTGTGTGTGTGTGGTGCAAGCCCCAACTTGGTGATCCAAGAGTAATGGAAACCCAGTATTTACGAAAGAGGAGAAAATATTTGAATTGTCTGTTTCTGTCATTGAGTGGTGAGCTGAGCTGAACTTATTTAAGGAGCATGAGGGGAAATGTAGTATCTGAAGGAAATGTAAGGATGAAAATCTAAGTCCTAAAGTGTTAAAACCTGAAAAAGAGATTAACACAAGTGAAGATATTATCATTAAAGCTTGTGGTATTTAAGAAAAGGGATTCTGTGTAGGAATGCTGGGAGCAGATGAGAGAAGGGTGTTTTTTTTAGAGATGTTTGTTTCACTGTGATGAGCTCATATAAAGGAATAATTAAATACAAATGGCAACAAAATAAGAACTGGAGAAAAATAAGTCAAGTCAATCAGATGTATTTATTTAGCAATTTAAAAACAACAGGAGTTCAGTCAGCATGCTTGACAAACATGGCGAATGCAAAACCATACGGATAAAAAGAAACCTCTATCAAACTGATACATCCAAAACTCATTTAAGGAAAAAAAGCTTTTATATCATATCAATAAGTGCTTTAATTTTAATAAAGTGGGTTTAATAAAATATCTATATTTACCTTAATGGCTGCCTAAATATAGGCTTCAAATCTCAACCGCGTCTGCCAGATGTTGACTCAGTGATGGGGCAAAAGAAATGGTGTTGGTTTTATGGTAAATTTAGCATCATGAAAGGATGGAGCACTTTTTTCTCCTCTTTAGAACATGACTAATGCAGGAGGCCGTGTCATGACTTTCCCTCCCTACTCTGCAACCCAGACGTGGATGTATTCAAATTCTTTCAGCCCATTTGAAATGCCCCAAAAATCAGGAACGAGGGTGAGTTCCAGCAACGTGGACAAAAGAATTTGGCTAATTCTTTGCAGATGTGTCTCTGAGCCGTTTGAGGGAACACTGCACTGCCCTCGCAGAGGAGAGAAAGGGCTCTGCGTGGAGAGAGATCAACGAATTATGAGTGAAAAACATTGGTGACCAAGTGCAGCTGGTTCTGACAGTCTGGTGTTCCAAAGAAGAGAGAGGAGCAAAGCCAGGAACAGACACATAGTTTTCACTCCCCAGGGGAAATGTTGGTATGCAGAATCACACGAGTGTGCGTTATCCATCCTCTTAGCAAAAATACATTCACTTACTGTCAAAAGACTTGCTCAACCAGAATTCATAGTGGAAACAAAGAAAGTTCTGTGAGAGGGCATGCAGTATGTGAGGACCAAACAGGAAACATTTAAGAAGAGATGTTGAGTTGATTCTTTGATTCAGTTTTAGGATTAAAAAAACCTTTCCCATTCTTTTCTTTTCATCTTTTAATCCTCAGGAAATGATTATCATGAAATCAGTCTTTGGAATCACAAGCACATCTTGTAGTTCGTCTGTGTTAATGAACCACTGGTCTCTGGTATTCAACATTGTTTCATTAGCTCCTGAAAATGACTCTAATAACTTCTATAACAGACACATTTTCATGAGCTCATGCATCTGCACTTGGTTCTGATTTGCCCCAGACAGTTTACACAAGCTGAAACAGAAACCTCTTGTGGCATGGGATTTCCTTTGCCAAAGAACAATACAACTAACTTAACTGTGATTTACAGCATGATTTAATCAGTTTAGAATAGAACCTGTTCTCGGGTGATAAAGTATTTTTTGTCCGTCCTTCTTTTTTGTGTGTTTTCCTCAGATTTTTACTGGAAGTATGCATCATGTTAGTTCACTAAACACCCTCACACTGTTTTTAAAGCTGGAGTATTTCTCTATATCACCATAAAAACAAATGCAACAATAAAAGTTAACAATGCCCTGTAGAGTTTTTGACGATGCACCTGAGCATGTGGCTATGTAAACTCCAATGATTGACAGGTGTTAATGCGGTGGAAATAAACACAGAAATTTGTTAATGAAGGGAAGAAAAAAAGTGCTGGCAAGTTAGTGTGGATGTTACCAAAGTGTGGGTTTGTGCAGAAAGTCACTATTTTGTGCAAAAGAGTAGTTTTATGAATTAAAGAAAATGAAAGAGCTTGAGAGAGAGAAGTTCGGATCCTGCTTTCTCTCTCACCCCCACATGGCCAATCGAGCCAAACCTCTAAAACCATGAAGCTTTTAAAGTTAGTGGCATGAGGCCTTGTTAGGGGGTATCAAACCATGGTGTCCCTGCAGTCTCCTGTACATAACCAAAGACTTTAAGGGGGTTTTCACAAAATTGTCACTGCTGTGAATCAGACGTTGTCGTGGCCCCCCTCAAAATGTGAGTGTTCCTCTAAAGGATAGAATAGCAGGTTGAATGGATCAAGTTAGCATCAAAGTGAAATTGCAAATAGCTGTCGGGAAGGTAGAGCGGGTTGTCCATGCCGGTTTGATCCACATCTCCCCCATTCCGCATGCCGAAGTGTCTTTGGGTAAGATGCTGAACCCCAAATTGCCCCTGATGTCTGTGCCGACAGTGTTCGAGTGATGCATGATAGAGAAACTGCTGCAAACAACACTGTTACTGCAAGTTCAGGAGATCAGTGTTTCTGTGGGAGTTTCCTGATGCAACCATTGTTGGCTTCAAAACTATTTCTGCGTCTCCAGTATCTTTAGTCACATCACAGCCACACAATTCAGAAGAAGTCCACCAAGAGTTTGTGTGAAGAAACTTAATAACCCATCACTTCCTGAACAGTTCCCTCAGGTGCTGATAAGAAAATACCTTGCAACTTGTGACAGACTAATATTTGCAGATATCTGCCCCCTAGTGTAAGGATGTGGGACAGTTTAGTATCCATGAAGTGAGGTCATGGACTTGTTTTGAGAAAAGCTTTAGAATCCATGTGCTTTTATGAATGTGACTCAGAGCAGCTCTTAAAGGTCGAGTGTGTAAGATTTAGGTGAAAGGGAACTATTGGCAGAAATTTAATGTAGAATAATCCAGATGATGTTTTCAGTAGTTCGTTTCATCTAAATTGTATGAATTGTAGTTTTCTTTACCACAGAAAAGGTCCTTTATATTCAAATACTTTATATTTAAATGGAGGGGACCCTCTCTATGGAGGCTGCCATGTTTTTTACATTAGTCCAGACTGAACAAACTA